CTCATATGGATTTGTAATAATTGAGTTTGATAGCTTAATGTTTTAAAATGATACTGTATTAGTACATCTATCAAGAATGCTATTGATCATTGTTGTAGTATGCAAGGTAAAATTGTTATATCTTTTCTTAATAAACTGATGGATATGTTGTGAGAAGGCCTGTTGGTTCTCTGTCTCCTGTGTGTGATATAGAGTTTTTCAGTATATTTTTATTATATTAATAGTTAATATAATATTGTCACTACTAATATCTTGTAAAACTATTTAACTAATAATCAAAACTCTTTCCAACGATCATCTAGTCAACAAAAAACAAGAAACCGAACTACGGTCAGTGCTATAGAAGATGCTTAAGTAAATAATAAACTTGGTTCTACAGAAGTAGGTGTGTTGTCGACGAAGTACCAAGAGTGTAAAACCGAGTAGCGGTCTACTTTGGACTGGTTTTGGTAGATGTCAAGCTCTTCTTCTGGCAGACTCCTCTGCCTATTTGGCATCCAAACCAGAAGTATATTTTGGAAACAAAGAACATCTAGGATGACACTAGGAGTATTACAAGCTTAAAGTATATCTATACAACCGTAAAACTTACAAGGAACAACCACAGAAAAGTTTCATTGGCCCACCACTTTTTTCGAGGAAATTTTGTCAAAAATTGTGCGATTTAGCTTATACCTTCCAAAAGATTGACACGTAATTTTCCAAAACAAGTCAGTATTGTTTACCTGTCTAGAAATGGATGGGACTTCTATAACGGGATATCAGGCAGATGTTTGGATTAAGCAACTGTGTACAACTGTATGACAACACAAATGGTATACGTGCCTCGACCAGAAAAACTGTTTGACAATACTTCGAGACTTTCATATCTTGGGCTACTCTGTTTTATTTAGCTGTCTTTTTTTATGTTTTTTTTTTATTATATATATATTATTAGAATAGAGTTAGATACAGAGCTTCTTTATCTATTAATATGTAATTTTTAAGGCCCAACACGGGCCTATAACTGTGACCTATCAGATTCTCTTTTCTTTTTCTTCCCCCTTTCGTCTTTGTATTTGTTTTTTTAGTTTTATCATTCAATTTACCTATTACACAACAGTTACATACCAAAGCCATAGTCAATGAACTATGAAGAATCTTCAGATTCGATCAGCTTCTAGAGTCATATTTTGCTAAACTGTTACCACCACTGGAGGATGTAACTAAAATCCATAATGAACTTCAGCAATACTTCCCTATTACAAACCGACAAGCCCTTCAAAATTTGGGATACTATCATTACAAACTTACTGATTATTATACAGTTGACTCTATCCCCAAAGTATATTTTCAACTCCCACCACCTAAACAGCTACTCTCTACAACATATCAGGAACTAAACCCAAAGGTTAGAGGATTCTTCCCCTGTCACTTGGATGAAACAAATATACCACTAGCAGAGGTAGTAGCGTTAGTACAACAATACTATACATTCAAGCTCCTTCCTAATGATTATTTTGCAACTAAACTATTACTCCCCTCAAATCCAGAGCATATCAAAACTAGTTCACAATTCACCTTTTCAATTACAGACAATATTATAGCACAAAACTTTATGCATAAAGCCTCACAGAAATATAGAATAAGATTCCCACTGCTACATAGTATCATGCAGGCAAATCCTACCAACAAACCTAGTCTACCTACTAGTGATCAGGTTATAGCAGAACATAATATTACTATACCAATTATATCATCTTAGCAACTTACACAAACTGCAAAACTTCTTCGCCAACATTATTATTTTACAAAAATACCAGAAGAATGGATAAAAATTCCAATTCAAGTACTTATAACTACTAACTGTAGTGATACAAATGCTATTGAATTGCCCTTACCTCCTATACCAAACAGTTTAGAGGACATAAATACAGCTTTAGCCTCTCACAATATACAGCTAACATTACCAATTACATCACAAATGCTAATCACTCCCATTATTCAAACACTGGTCAGTACTTCACAATTAAAGCTATTTCTAGCTTTTTACTTAAGTTATCTCTACTACCAACCCCATCCTGGGCAATATTTTCTCATACAAATCCATCTTCTACCACTACTCCAGAGGCCAATACAATGCCGATGGACATGAATTAACTAACTCATGATAATACAAACTACAATTAAACCACTAACAATTGCTACACACAATGCTTAAGAACTCAATCAAATCACAAAAAGACAATTACTGTTTGACTACTGTTTAGTCCAAAATTTTGATATTATTTTAATTATAGAAACAAAACTAGCACACTCCAGATATACAGATAGAAACCTACATAAGCAGTATAATAAATGCTTTGCATCTAATAACTCAACTACAACTGCCCTACACCCTAGAGAATCTAGTGCAGAGACAGCCATTCTAATAGCCCAACCACTTACAATATATATACACAATATTCAGATATTACCTGGCACAGCTATTGCAATTGATTTATTCTTTCTACATAAAAACAACTTCCGTATTATATCAGTATATTTACCAAAAGACACACTTACAAACAATAAAACTCAAGACCAGATTATCATATGGATTTAGCAAACATACTAATCTCAGATCATACCGATAATCCTGGGAGATTTCAACCAAGATTTACATAAACAACAAAGATCAACACTATACAAATACTTTGAATTATACAACTTTATACCTTTAGTTCATACTTACTACCCTCACTCATCTACTTGGAGTAGAGATAACATCTCTAGCCAAATCGATGAAATATGGATACTTTAACAGATTATGCATCTTGCCATACAACCTACACTTACTTCTGCAATCCAGGTTACAAACAGCAGTGATCACTATAATATATATACTGATTTGCAACTATATGTGAACCCATCTAAATGCCACAAGAAACATAAATTTAAGGTCTATAAATATGACACTATGATAACTGAAATCTGGAAACAATTTCAACAGAACACCCAAAATACTACTTCTCAAACTACAGAAGAAATAGTGAATACACTTTCAATCAATCAACTTTGGCATCAAATCAACACAGCAATTACCAAATCAGCAAAGGTTCACATACCTTTCTCACAGTGATTACAAAAACAACACAATACTTTTTCATCTAAAGCAACAAAAATGCATACAGCACTAAACTTATGTGGTAGCATACTCCATACCTTGGTAATGCTACATAAAAACCCTAACAACTACTTGCATAACCACAACACTATGCTTCAAGCAATTAATCAAAAAATTCACATAATACAGCAGCTATCCAATCTTCCTATTACAGATCTAGTTTTACAAGATTTTTTTTTCCACTTAGGCCATCTTGCCTTTAGTCTTCTTTATTACTTTACAATTGTATAGTATTACAAAAGGCCTTAGCATAATATTTAGAAGTGGCATCCCACAGTTACTTTGAAAGCACTTACAAGCAATCAGCCGCACTAAGCAGATACATCCCTATAAATATATCACAATAAGTTTCAAAATAGAAACATTATCTCTCTCAGACGAACACTATCAGACCACCGCCCTACAATAGGATATCGCCAATCTGATGACATCTTCTCATAGAGAAGTGGAAAGATAAAAAAAATTTTTACTAACACTAACACTAATACTAAAGGGGAGATACTAAAAAAAATGAAACTAAAACTAAAAAACAAATACAAAGACGAAAGGGTGGGAAAAAAAAAAAGAGAATCTGATAGGTCACAATTATAGGCCTGTGTTGGGCCTTAAAAATTACATATTAATAGATAAAGAAGCTCTGTATCAAACTTTATCCTAATAATATATGTATAGTAAAAAAAAACATAAAAAAAAAGACAGCTAAATAAAACAGAGTAGCCCAAGATATGAAAGTCTCGAAGTATTGTCAAACAGTTTTTTTGGTCGAGGCACGTATACCATTTGTGTTGTCATACAGTCTGTACACGGTTACATAATCCGAACGTCTGCCCGATATCCCGTTATGAAAGTTTCATCCATTTTTAGACAGGTAAACAATACCAACTTGTTTTGGAAAATTACATGTTGATCTTTTGGAGGGGTAAGCTAAAATGTCCAGTTTTTGACAAAATTTCCTCGAAAAAAGTGGTGGGCCAATGAAACTTTTTTGTGGTTGTTCTTTGTAAGTTTTATGGTTGTATAGATATATCTTAAGCTTGTAATACTCCTAGTATCATCCTAGACATTCTGTGTTTTCAAAATATCCTTCTGGTTTGGATGCCGAATAGGCAGAGGAGTCTGCCAGAAGAAAAGCTTAACCTCTACCAAAACCAGTTCAAAGTAGACCGCTCCTCAGTTTTACACTCTTGCTAGTTCGTCAACAACACATCTACTTCTGTAGGACCAAGTTTATTATTTACTTAAGCATCTTCTATAGCGCTGACCATAGTTCAGTTTCTTGTTTTTTGTTGATCAGATGATCGTCAGAAAGAGTTTTTTTTTTAATGGCCCAGAGGAAATGCATTAACAGATGCATATTACAAGAATACTTTGACTTCTGGTGATAATGAACTTGGATCAGATAAGGAGTAGTGGCACTCTTCAAGAATACTGCAATGACTTCTTTAGATCTAGTGATAATGATCTTGGATTAGAATAAGAAAAAGTGTTAGCAGTTGTACTCTGCAAGAATACTGCGTTAACTTTTTGAAATTTGGTGATAATGATCTTAGATCAGAATAAGAAAAAGTATTAGCAGTACACTCAGTAAGAATATACAGTAACTTTTTTGGATACTGACGAAAAAAAATATTAGCAGTATACAAGAATATTGCAATGACTTTTTAAATCCTGGTGATAATGGTCTTGGGGAAAAGCATTAACAATCAATATTGTTCTTCTTATAAAATGACACCCTATTGTATAGTATCTAATAAACATCCTTGTAATAATACAAATTCAAGTAATATTCTAATAATTGAAAAGTATGAAAAGTTCTGAATTATATAGAAAGCATTGAAGATCCAAACTAAAAAGCATGGAAGGTTTCGAATTAGAAGGCATGGGAGGTCTAAATTAGAAGGCACGGAAGGGCCCAAATTAGAAAGCATTGTGAAGGTTCTGAATTTGGTGATAATGAATTAGATTCTGAATTTGAATGCTTTAAATTAGAGAAATTTGAAAATAGCTCTGAATGACGATTGTATCAGATTATAGTAATGAAATTATTGATGAAAACATAAACATTCAAGAAATTATAGAAATTAGTGATTCAGAATCAATTGAAATTGATATAAAAAATGAATGTTATTGAACTATCTGAAATAGAAAATGTAGACTCGAATTCAGAACATGGATAACAATGTATTATTATTATTTTATTTTGAATATATTTAATTGATACCGGGGGATATTGAAATCTGGGGTACTATATCTCAAAAACTTGATAAGAAAACAGGGTTAGATGTACTAAGTAAAAATGTTCAGAACCCTCCAAAACCTTGTGTAACCTAAATTTGGACCATTTATTTACCCTATTTTGGTGTAAAACTGCACCTTAAATCTAAATTTTAGTAAAAACTATTATATCTCAAAAACCTAACTAAGAAACAGGATTAGATACTGTATACTAAGAAAAATGTTCAGAACCCCCTAAAACCTTGTGTAATATAAAATTTGGACTATTAAATCTGACTACTATTTTGGTATTAAACTGAACTCTAACCCTAAATTTTAGCAAAAAACTATTTTTTATTAAAAATTAGGGGTGAATATCAATATCCCGGTGTTATATATATAAATACTTTTATTTTTTACTTTATTTTTCTTTTATTTTATAATTTTATTACAATTTTAAATATTTTAGCCCAAAATACCATTACTTAATATTACAAATTCATCTCGGCCTATACATTCAAAACATAGAATTATTTGACATACTGCTCTTTTAAATATTAAAAGAAACTGTGAATCTATTAAAACAAAATAGAAGCAAAGTATAAAACAAAACGAAATCGAACATAGGAACCTGGTAATTTAGTAAAAATTTGCATTCCTACCATTGATAAATTAAAGACAGATCGAAGATCTTTATTATGCAAGATCATTCAAAAAAACCTAACTGTAATTTTACCAAGTCACCCACAAATCGGTTTAGTTTTACTAATTTCTCCCACACTTCATCATCGTAGTTGTAATTTATAGTAATATCCTTTTACATTATTTATCGTCGTGACTGATACTGAAATTCAGACCTATTTTGTTATTAAATTTTTGTGGTGTTTTGTTTTGCTTTTTTTTTTAGGGTTGGGATTTAGAAATAGAATTGAATATATGTAGATTTTAGCAAAGCTTATATTTTCGAATCTAAGTTCTAGATTTCAGCATTAGCTGTGACATTTATCAGTAGGTGTTTTTAGAGCTATTACTCAAGTTGCGCTAATCTGTAAGGATCACAGGTCAAAAATTATCTTTACATGAGTTGAACAGATTAGAGATGCAATAAGATCTACTTCTATAATTCGATTTAATGTATGTTGGATTAGGTATATTCAAAACATCTTTTAATACTTGTTCAGATTCAACATTTTTATAAATTTCTTTTGCAGTTGGACAGTCTTCTGAACATTTTCCCACATTCTTTCATTAGATTTATATAGCATTGTGGTGTATTCTTAATAATAGTTGGTCTTAAATTTTTACAGCATACCTTTGTTTGAAGTTGATTATCAAATTCGTGATTGCAATATACCAATTTTTCATATAAAATTCTTCACATAATTATGCCAAATGAGTAAATATCAGATGCTATAATATATAGCATTTTATAAAAATTTCAGGTGCAATGTAAGGTAAAATTCTATCAACTTCTTATGATCTCATCTCTGATGCTATATTGGATTTGGCCTGTTCTATATTGATTTTCCTAAACCCGATCATCTTTTATATACTAGTAGATTGTTAAAAGTTGTTTTTTTTTTTAAAATCTAACTAATTATATGTATAACAATAATTATTGGATCCAAGTAGAAATTTAAATAAATGTATCATTAATTCAATCTTTTATTTAATGTGAAATACTTGTTTTACTTTGGGTTTATTAATCAGTTTTTGTAAAACAAAAAACTTAACTAATCAGAATGCACTCCAGTCAAGATTTGAAACTGTTGGGACCTTGATAGTGTCAGGATTTTGGCATTGTCTAGATCTTGGCATTGTCAGGATCTTGGCATTGTCAGGATCTTGACATTGTCAGGATCTTGGCATTGTCAAGATTTTGGCATTGTCAGGATCTTGGCATTGTCGGGACCTTGGCATTGTCAGGATTTTGTCATTGTCGGAAGTTTGGCATTTAGAATTCTGGCATTGTCAGGATTGTAGCATTGTCAGGGTATTGGTGACTGTTGGGATTTTTGTATTGTTGAGATTTTGGTATTGTCAGGATCTTGGTGATGTTGGGATCTTGGTGAAGTCAAGATCTTGGTGGTGTTGTCGGATTTTGTCACTGTTGTGATTGTGTCACTGTTGGGATTGTAACACTGTTGGGATTGTAACACTGTTGGGATTTTGGGTGTCAGGATTTATGTAGATAGTGTTGGAATTTTAGTATGTTGGGATTTAGGACTGTTGGGATTTTGGAAGTAACAAGATTTTGGTGTTAGGATTTTAGGTGTTGGGATTTTAGTACTGTTAGAATTTTGGTGTCAGGATTTTGGGTGTTGGGATTTTGGTGTCAGGATTCTGGGGGTAAGATCTGTGCTTTATAAAATTGAATTATATTAACATATCTTTTGAATTGGTCGAGTTATGAATAGTGATTGGACCTGGATAGGCGCTATCAGAATTACTCGTGAGTGGGCAGATAGTCTGAGTTAGATTTTGGCAATACATAAGTTGGCCCACAGGTAGGGTTGAGGGCACAGCAAATTTTTGGGGCATGCACCTGGAGCATGCCTTTGTGAAGGGCATGCCCCTCTATACCTAGGGCATGTCCTCTATAGATATATATATCATATATTATCATAATTAGCAATAGTAGGCTTTAATTCTAATTGGCCAATTTGATAATTGATCAATTATATAATAGCCCTATATCACATGATAGGAGCATGCCTTTTGGTCAAAGGGCATGCCTCTTAACCCCATGCCCCCAACCCTACCCACAGGTAACCCGTGGGTGTAAGCAAAAATCAAGATTATAATCATGTTTATAAATTTTCAATTGTTGCCAGCGAAGATGCTTTGAAGGTATCACATTTCTATGAATATATCGCGATAAGTTTCAAAATAAAAACACTATCTCTCTCAGACGAACACTATCAGACCACCGCCCTACAATAGGATATCGCCAATCTGATGACATCTTCT